TGTATCTATTTTTACTACATTTATACGTCTTCAGATTTCCATCGATAGTCGATCTAGAGGTTTAATGAACGAACGAAGTTACCATTGGCTGGAATTTTTTCATCGAGCAGAAGTGTAAATTTAGCTAATGAAAATTTATTTTGCACTTCGAAACATGCTTTCATAAGGGCACGTTGAGCGACGCGATTTTTTTGCCCGCGAGATTTATGGCTGCATACAGGATACATTGTTAATCATGTGTACTTCTAGGCAAGAATCCGGTTACCACATTATTTAGAACGGCTCATTACGAAGCAGACTCGACAGTCACACTGTATCAGTAACTATCTGCGAATTAAACTTTCTCTTGTACATATTTCAATTTTGTAAACTTAACAAATATTAATAAAATTAATAAAATTCAAAATAACTGATACAGACAAATTATATCAAATTGTACCAAACATAACAAAATCTGTGAATAATTTTTCATTTCATCTGTAAAATTAGTAAAATCCAAAACAAGTGATATAGAGTATAAAAATTTATATGTTTTGCAACTTTAATCTCTGAAAAGGTGATTCTTTCAAGAGCAATAAAGTATTTTAGAATGGTAATGTATCAAAGAACAATAAAAAAGTGGTTTTAAAGATCCATATCTTTATAAAATTATTCATAATATTCATAACTTTATTAAATTATTTTTTTATTCAGAAAGGTTTGCTGTGAAATGTTTATACATATATATCACATAGATGGAATTATAAATTTTAAGCTGAGATTTGTGAATTTTCCTAAAATAGTTATGATCTTTGGCGAACTGTAATAGTATTTTAAAATATCTAAAGTAATAGATGTAAATATAGTTAAACAGTAATAGTATGCATTTAAGGTTTATATCATTATTACTGCAGAATTGAATAGACATTGAACTTAATATAATCGAATGGTTCTTATTTCACTTGAAATACACTGTTAGTTCTGTAAATATGTAAATATGAATCAGGTAGGTATATTCTATTTCGATCGTTAAACACCACTACACTGTTATGTTTAAATAGTTTGGTGACATACCTTATATAAACTAAAATATATGAACGTGTATTCAACATATTATATATTTTCTCACCAATATTTTCTAGAAATGCGTTTTTAAAAAGAAATAGTTTATAGAAATTATAATACACCTTCGTAATTTTGGTGACAACAATTTTATTCACAACACGAAATATTAAAATGCTAATTTATCCGTATTTTGCATTTTACTTATACCTGTTTTACTATACAAATTTGCAGAAATTGATTGATTTGTTTTAAACGTCACTATAAATAATTATTATAAATAAACTGCAGATTCTAATGGATTTATAGAAAAATTTGGAAGCCTAAAATTGCACAGAATGCACAATATATAATTGAATGTATAAAACGTACAAAGTGTAATAATTTTTATAGTATTTATTAGGAAAAACCTTCTTCTTTCGTAATTCTATTTCTTTAATTATGTTCTTAAAAATTAGAATTTTTATAAAGATCCCAAATCTAGTTATAAGGAAATATAAAATTTAAATGAGAAAATGATGTGGTATTAATTTTTTCTATACCTGTAATTTTTTAAACGTTCAGGGGAATACATTTTCCACATTTAAGGGTAGTTTTACCACTTTCAAAATAAAAGATTGTCGATAAAAAGGATAAAGAAAGAATATTGTCGATAACAGAATAATTATAGAAACACGCGCATATTTCAACGTTTTACTGTTCTAAAAAATCTCAACAAACGCGGTGATCGTCACTTAAGGCCGATTCTTTTGTAAGCTCACTTGATCTGCTCCACCCTAGATGAAATGTGTGGCGCTGAATGCTCTTTTTTCTGGGTCCATTTCAACATGAAGCTTTGTGCCGTGCACAAGAAAAATGAGGGTGAAATCATTCCGACATCAGTTATACGACGATGGAGATAAAAATGGCTGTTGTGGGTGACTGATGTCGATAGTACGGTCCAATGCATATTTTGCATTCCAATAGGCGACAGATGATTCTTGTAAACTTTTGTATGAGGAATGTCAGTTTAAAAACCGTTTTCTTTACAATATTTAATTCTACCATAAAGATCAAATTTTCATCTTTGAAAATTATTATATTACATATTATTTAAAAAAATTATGTTTTGACTCCAACATGTAAATGTCTGTTGTAAAATCTAATTCTAGGAACTCTTCGAATAATATGATATATGTATTTATAATATTATCAACATTCAAACGAATTTATGAAATTATTAAAGCGAATAAAATATTAATTACATATCAATGTTATAAAATTTGTTCAGTTTATTTTATATTCTTTTCAGATTATTTAAAATATAAGGAACATATTTCTACCTCCAGCTACATCTTTACTAACTTATTATTTTGGTGATACAACAGTTTTTACAAAATAGATATAAATAAGAAGTGAACTAGAACAATTGCATGCATGGAAGTCAGCATTTCTAGAGATCGTTGGCATTGATGATCCCTAGCGGTACCTTGTTTCTTCTGGAAGTTTTATTTTCTCAATCGAAAACAAGATCTGTGTTGTAGCTTTCGTTTGCGGTTTCCGTACGAAAAGGCTTTGCTCTTTCTTTTGGTGCAGACAGATTTTATTTCCGCTTCTTAATGCTCAAAATAAACATCCAAAATAAATTACTGAAAGCATTTGATGCGGGATGGATGTATTCATTATTTATAAGTTGTTTAAACCTGTTTAAATGTTTAGAATGTTGCAAAGATTTATAAATTTCAACATTGATAATTTATACCATTATTTTCTGGAATAAAATGTTTTACTGTTGTTAATATTTGAGAAAATCAGGATCACATCCTTTTAATGAAAATGATGCGCTTGTGTTCTTTGAACATATTATTATATTGACAAAAAATATGAATTTGTAAAGAAATAAATTATCTTATAAAATTTAACTTCTTACGGTATAATATTTTCAACTAAACTGGAGATATAATTTGCTTTAATTAAATTTATTCATATATTTCAGTTTATTTAAAAATAGTCACATTAATAATACAGTCATCAGTGATCATCAACAATTAAAAACACAATTAGATTCTGTATGATAACATTATTACGTCGTTTTAAGAAAATATCATCACTACAATAAATTATTATTATAAAACAGATCTTTCTTATTTATAACATTTTTTATTAATAATTACATCATTTTGTGAAGAAAAATGGTTCTTACAATTGGTTACAATGAATTCAGTAAGTTTATCTTCATATCAGATTTGATGTTACAACCATTTTTGACAGAAGAGAAATTAAAACAGTTTATTAGGACATGTTCAGTTGAGTATTTTATCCTGCATAGCTTGAAAGTTCAAAGATGCTTAAAGATGCACGATATGCCATCATATTCACGACTAAAGAATAAGAAAACCGTTCTTCGAGGATATAACAGTATCACGAAAAAAAAGACGGGATTGCCTCCTGGCAAGAGGACTGCGAGGGACACCAAGGCACTTAGTCCGGAACTGCTACATCGAAAATACATTTCCTCTTTTCATAGGGCGGTATCTTTACCGTGTAACAGTATAATAATACCGATATTTTTGAGCATAAGTGGTTACTTGTTTGCGATGATGAATGTGAATACACGAGCGATACGATCTAACATCATCAAGGCAATTTTTTAATAACAATAAATGGAAATATGTAGTCTGACTTATACATTTAAATCTTATATGAAATGTAAAATATACATAAAAATAGTGTTTGCTATGTTTAAATATTACCCCATATATTATATAAATAATATAGCAACACAATTGATATGATACCCATTTCATTTGAAATAGTTTATGTTTTGTGCTGTTGTTGCTCAGTTATTATGGTATAAAGATGGCGTAATTGCGTTTCCCATGTTAAATAAATATTGTTTCTACATTAGAAATAACCAATTTTACTATAGATTTATTATATAATGTTTAATGAAGTAAATGTGTGGTTTTATTTTTTGATAATACTATACAATATTGTAAAATATAAATTTTTGCCTTTTTATATGCAAACCGTAAATTTTTATCTTTTTATGCATTGATAACGTGTCATGTGAAAATTCGATGTTTGCATAATCGAGTTTCAGAGCAGCTTTTAATAACGGTTTGTTATTTAAATTCTGTAAACATTGTTATATTGCTTTCTCATAAATAGTGTACAAATTAGTATTTTATGGAAATTAAACATATGAGTTAAAAAGGATTTGATACCACTGTGCATGGTATAATAAATGAATACAGTAGATTTTTACTTTAAACATTAATTTTTTCTAAGATAAAATTTAAAGTACGCATTTGGAAGGAGCTGTGTTTAAAACTTTATTGTGAATAAGAAAAACTTGAAAAGTATACTTAGGTAGAGCTATTTTTTCGCAAATGCAATGTTTTTTAGAAAATTAAAACCATTACTTCTTAAAACGAAATTTAATATTATTGTAATAAATACACTCGATTTCTCTAGACAGTGTGCGTAAGAAAATATCGATGAATATTATAAAAGTAACAATTTGTGAAACATTTATTTACAGTGAATTTGAAAAATTGTTAAATCAAAGAATACAAAGTATAAGCTTTTATTTTTACGTAATTTCACACGTTTTTCTTTCGATTTCATTTAACGTTCTTTGAAACAGTATTTGAGTACACACATAATTTGTAATTACATTCCGAAAGAAGTAAATGTTCGAAATAATAAACTACAATAATAAAAGACAAAACATAAATGAATGAAACGAATATAAAATTTTATCCGTCTTTCAGCGGTGATAATTTTATTTTAATAATAACACATTAATTCATTTCGATGTACGTAGAAATAAAATTTAATACATTATTAAATTATTATTCATAAATATTCAGGGATATACATTTTCTAGAAGATAAGTTAAGAATGATTAGAACAAAGGAAATCACTATGAAAAATTTATTCATAAATACAAGTTTGTGAACGATGTGTGTGTACAGGTACACCATGTTGCAGAGGAGCTTTCAAGCTGCGGTCTACTTTTTTCTTCGAGTCCCGGATAATGCTTGCAAAACAGAAGCTATTTTATGAGAGAAGAGCGATAATCGAGAATGGTAAGACCAGCCTTATGTAGTATGGTAAAATGAGAGTGCGAAAATTAAAATATTAATGCTCAAATAAAAGGGAATATGAACAAAATTAAATGAAAGTAACAGAGATTGAATATACATATTTAAATATATAAAATAATATACATGTATAAAAATGATTTTTTTTTGTAATTGACTTCATTAATGCATAAATAATATTCTCCTTGTTCGTTATGAAATTTATAATACAAATATTTTAAACTATTAAATTTTCGTACATTAGAAGAATCGAAAATGAGTTTAATATTTAAGTATTAATTTCACTGTTTTGAGAAAACTGCAGTGTCAGAGACAATATATTTTTAATTTTACAGGATTGTAAGTTTTAATTGTACCTTATTGTATTGAATATACAACAATTAATATCCAACAATTGTATTAAATTTGAAAATTTCAATTGTACAAAATAAGTGCTGTTAAACAGATGAAAAAGTATGTTTTTTAAAAAACAACGTTTTTAAAGTCTTTATTTCATATTTTAAACTGTACACACTTTTGATCGAATAGTTCCATTCACTCCACTACGCTGAATCTTTTTTATAAAAGTTTTTTCACACTATTTTCTATGATTTAAATTTCATTTTACGGTGGAAAAATTTTGATTTGTTGAAGCTGTCAAGATCTATTACTCCCGAGAGATTAAATTTAAATGCTCTACGGTCGAATATGTCACTCGAAAAAAAATTCGCATCGCCATTACTTTTACTAGTTGTTAAATAACCGAAACGATTTTCATTTTAAAGGAAATACTGCAATAACAGTATTTTCTTTTTTCAGTTATTAACTATAAATTAACGGATAAATATAAAGAGGAGTATATGTTATTAATTGTTTAATTGAGTATCATTAACATTTCATAACTGTGTTCAAAGACTATATCATTCTATCATATTATTTGCTTTAAATAACAAATAATATAAATTTAATTTTATATAATATATTATTATATATTATTATAATATATAAATTAGAAATTATTGCATCAGCATTGTAAACTTGGACGTATTTGTCGAAACCAATGATTTTATTTTCACTTAATAGGACCATTTCGATATAAAATAAACAAATAAATGAAATTCGCGGCAAGCTTCACGTAAAATGGTTGTATAACAAACTCGTTAACCTGTTTAAAATTTCAATTGAAACGTTACCCTCATGTCCAAATTAACTTGATTAAAAACTACGTTACGTTGAAGAACGAGCTAAAGGCTATAGAATTTCTCTTTGAAATCGAAATACATAAGTTATCATGGTTTTAATAGGTACAAATTTAACGTAAAAATTAAAAGAGAAACAGTAAAATTTAATACTGAAAGTGCGTAGTCTATAGCAGAAAATTAAAATGCCTATATTGTTTTTCATAATATCAGAAAATTCCTATAAAGAAGAAACGGCTGTTTTTATACAGACAAGTATTATGATAAAAATAATCTTTGTAATATACTATTTTTCAAAGTTTTGAAATCAGTATATTGTTTACGGTGATGGTATATTGTATGGAAAATTCGCAAAATAGTATTATTTTTTTAAAGAAATAATTATTTGTCGAATCTGATTACACATATGAACTCTTTTTTCACGAAATCTGCATATTAAAATTGTTAGTTAGAACCATTATAATCTCAATTTATATTTTTAACCCTTTTGAAAAGTTAAACATTTAGGAGTAGATATAGAATTAAACTAAATTCAAATTAATATCAAATTAAAAGTAAATCAAAATCGACGTTTGTTGTTAAATGCTTGATTTTCCTAATTAGGTAATTCACTCTGTATACATTTAATCCCTTACATTCGAGATTCAGTCATCACTAAGTTTAATGGCAAAATGATAAAATTTAATATTCACTTAAAAATGTATGCACTGTTTTAGTTCATGGAATATTAAAATAAAATACCTCTGTTCGTGTATTCTTGTACTCACGTATAGTTTCTTATCTTATAAAAAATATTATCGATGTTTCATTAGAGAGTTGTGATTATTTATAGTGAAAAGTGTTTCGAGTGCGAAGGGTTAAACAGAATGTATCCGTATAGTTTATGATAATTTCTGTATCTATTGTTCTAATGAAGACAAGTATTTACACTTGGAAGTTCCCCACAGGCATGAATCACACTTAGGATTATATTATCGTTTAGAACTATTCTACTCCGTGTATGTAATATACATAAAATCGAATAAATGCTATCGTAGGAGGAAGAGAATTTATTGAAATAAATAATATTTTAATGACACAACTTTTATATATTATTTACACTATGCTCAGAAACATAATATCTGAATATCAATTTATGTGAATTGCTACAAAAGTTTCGGGAAAGTATAAGAAACGTTACAAATAAGTTTGACCTAGTGGTTTTATTGTTTTTCAAAATATTTTCCTTCAATATTAATACATTTTGTATTATGTTCTGTCAGCAGTTACTGGACCTTAAAACTGTAAAACTTTACAAAAATAATATAAACAACTGAATTTAAAGTTTCCGAAACTTTTGCAGTAACGTACGTATATAAGCACATTTAGATACATTCATCTGATTCGAACACTTTCTGGAACATTCTTTCGTCACCATTCATTAACTTCAAGAACTAATATATACATTTATTAATATATTAAATATTTATAATATAATCATTTGGAGTATTTTAAATTCATTTAATATATACGTAAAACCAATATTTTAGAAAATCAATAATATACAATAATCCAAACGTCTTAAACATTTATTTATGGTATACACACATGCACACTCACAATTCAATACAATCATACCCACACTATTATATCTTAATTTTGTTTGTTATATATTAATTATTTTTCGCTGAAATAATAATGTTATAAATAATTCTAATATTGAATTCTCCGATTTATGATAAACATATCATGGATTTGTGGACACAGTGTATACAGATCGTAGATTACAATGTGACGTTCTATACATATTATACGTTGATACCCACACATTTGAAAATGTACATACATACACTGCATATCATTCGATCACTGTGCCATATTGGAAAATGTCAGGTGTCATGTGATGTATCATTCGAATGTAATATCAATATCATAGATCTATTAATTCTACTGTCAAATGTCAAGACCATGTCTTACGTTTCAGTGATTATCTCCTTAGATTAGAATTGCATATAACAGGAACAAGTATATTAAATTCAGTATTAATCTATTGCTTGATAGTTATTTTCCTCATTAGACTCGCAACAGTTATTTTTTCTTTAATAATTTCCCAACGACGAAAAAAATGTATATTTGCTCTACGAATTAAACGTTCTTCAACGAAAGGCAATAATTTATTTCGATTAATGCGTATTAAGGTATGTTGAAGTCTTTTAATTTTAATCCTTAACGGTTGACAATTTTCTATTAACATTTTAAAAAACTGAATTATGCATCGAAGCCTTAAATACTAAAAGAAAAAGTACCACGTGTCAGACTCTGGTTAGTTAAATAATTAAATTATTCATTTGCAGTTTTAGATTTTCAATATCGAAGCTCGAATTCGTTATTACCATACCATTTGACCGTAAAGGGTTAGTGTGAAATTTGCATCAAGAGTAAAATTAAATATTTCAAAGTAAGGATTCGATTCAACCGAAGTTATCGTTTATTATTTCCAGTAAACGGAAGAAAAGGAAGTTGTTGATCAAAATTGATCACAACTACAAAAGACGTTTAACTTGCTGTTTGTAGCATTTCATTGTACCTATAACTTCAGTAAAATAAAATCGTACCAGTTGAAATTTAATATTTACAAGAAATGGCAATGATACCACTGCGGTTTCACACAGAGCAGAGGAGGTGAGTTCATGGTTAATTTCGCGTAAACTCCAGCATGACATTAATTTGCATTACAATGCTGTTTCAACTTGGAAACTGTTCAAATCTTCGAATACTCGGTATGCGTGTCACGTTTACGAATACATTCGTTTCATTTCTAAAGTGAAAAATATATACATGTAGAAGATTCGTTAAATTTGTTAAAATAAATTCATCAAATCATTTTGTTAACATAGTCAACGAATGTTTTAAACAAAAGTTGTGCTTGATATCAGCTATAAATTGCAGTATGCAAAATTGTCAAGAAATTATTTTTTTACGTAAAATCAAGGTTACCTACTTATTTAAATTGTTTATTTAAATATCGAATTTTTAATAATTTCATTAGACTGTTACATAACATTAAGAAATCATTACATTTTCAGTAATAGCTGTGAATATAAATATAAGTTTTAATGAGTTTTTCATTCAACTGGAATATTAATTGAAATCTTATTATCAATTCAATTGTAATTAAATTGTTTGAAATTATATTGTTATGATAATGTGTTGTTTGAAATAATGTGGTTATGATATATTTTAGGGTGTTAACACTAAAACAGTTTCATTACGTGTACATTTTTAATATTATTAACGCTAGTGCTACCAGATGGGTAAAAATGACCCATTCCTAAATTCTTCTGTCACTATTATGGAAAAAATAATAGATCCTTCTGTAAGAAATTTTTGAAGAAATTGTTTCAGTCATACGCAAACTAGGTTACGAGTGCTCGAAGTCTCGATAGATACACTGTTGGGATTTTTACAAAAAAATGTTGAAAAGTTAACTTGTCTGCTCGGTAATTCTAGTGTTAAATAGCTTTGAGTAAGATAAAAACAGTTAAATCAATATATCGTATAAATAACGTTAAATCTTGTGGACTTGCGCTGTTTTGAAATTCATGATTTCAATTACATAAGAGCAACACTTGAAAATGTATATGCACCTCCAAGTTATGATTACGTTACCTATATAACCGCTTTGAATACAGCCATCAACGTACAAGCACCGCGATGTCAGCTCACAATGCAATCGAGCTGAATGTGATTCCGAGGCGTGTGAATGCTGCCCGCACGTGACAGATAAAGAGTTACGGGAATTGGTAAAACAAGGTCCAGGCTATTGGA